TTAAGAGTCAAAGTCATACTGGTTGGTTGAAACAAAATCTTGGTTTGGATTCTTTCTTTCTGGACCTCTGGTTATGGACCTTGCTCAGGGGCCCAATGGTGACATCACTCTGCTGACCAATCTAATGATCAGAGGTGCAGCGTCTTAAGAGACCTTCCTCAGTGTTTGATGTTCCACTACATGGCCACAGATGGTATAGTGGCTAAGACACCAGACATTTTACTAACCACTTAAGGGATATGAGCAAGCGAGGGACACTGCATGGTTATTGGCAGCAGATGGACAGCACACTGCGTTTTAAGGGTCACGGATTAGCAGTTACGTCACCAAACATGATCGAAATCCCTGCATCTAATTTACGTCCAGCAGCCCTCAGTAGTTTGGGCACTGGGTTTGCATGCTGCGGCAGCAGCTCCTGATTTGAGCGCGCGGTGAATCCCAGTGCCAAGACTCTCACTTGTAGACACCAGAGAATTACTGTATCACACCCACCCCCCCCCACCCCCCCACCGCAGCTTCCACGGGCAACAATAGTCACAACCGCTATATCACTTATTATCACTCATAAGTCCAAAGGACTCCATTAGGCTGCCGTGCGCCAGCGGAATCCAGGAATAAGCGGAAAGAAAGGAAAAGGACAGACTCATGACGCTGGGCAATGCAAATCTCTGCCTCTTCATGAGGATTTCCACAAAGAAAGAAATGTCATTGTAATAAGGCCGCAGCAGAATCTCCTTATAAAACCTGGTGAAATAAGCTGATTTTTGTATAGGGAATTGCAGCCACGTTTTCCTATTTCTTTGCCTATTTTTCACTGTAAGTGGCTCAGAAAATTATTCTCCAAGCGAAGATGTTTGCAAAACTACAGATCTTGTATTTCAACAATTTTATGTACCACAAATGTTGAACGTGAGAGAGCAGAATGAACTTATCTAACCAAGGCAAAAGTCCTGCTCCAAATGGAAACCCTGCATCCCAGTAAAAACATGAGCCAGTCTGACTGGGGACGTCCTGCTCTAACATCTTACATCCCTGTACTCCTCCCTTGAAAAAGTCAGGGCACAAAATCGCGTAAATCGATCTTTGGGGTGAGGTCACATATTTCAATGTTTCCAGTATGCCTGTCATCTCAATGTCAACGTCAATGTCATATCAATGTCAACGTCATCTCAGTATCAATGACATCATCTCAGTATCAATGACATCATCTCAGTGTGCCGTCTCATTTAGCACAACAGCCACAAGCTTGGTGACAACTATCTCTTCTCCCCCTCATTGGTGTTGGTGAGGGGAAGTTTCCAGAAGCCAGCCAGATGACTCCCTAACCCTCACCCCCCCCAAGAACCCCTTCAGCCTCTTCTCGAGTGAGATTAAAGACAGGGAGATAACTGTCCCCAAGTTCCTGAACAGCTGCTGGAGGGATTCTGCCTCTGTCGAGGATTTACCGTCCAATTAGCCTCGTCACTAAAGTTTCAGAGCGGCGAGGTGAGGAACGAGAACAGCCCGGCACATTCCTGCCGCCGAGGGCAACTGTCCTCCCAGAGAGAGGGCACCCGCTTAACACCTTCAGCCACCGTCAGGTCACTGCCTTGATTTCAGTTTTTCTGCAGCACCAGTGACGGGGGCGTCACCCCCACAAAAGTTACTTTCCCGGAGGACCTTAGCAGCGTCCGCACCAGCTACATGGTCCACGAAGTTAGCATGCATGACATCGCAGGGACGCACAGCGATGCGAGGCCTGCTTGTGTTGCACATTCCTGGGGCACTTACCGCCACAAATGCACTATAAATAGTGCGTGCCCCCCCTCCACACTAACCCCCCCCCCCACCTCGCCCACAGGACAGGAGCTACAAAGCAGCATTAGGCCGCTATCAAAACACCATGAAATAGGATCTTGCATATATGTCTGCCAATGTCAGCTGTAACTCTGAACCTCCGGGCTTAAGGAATGCCTGTGTGTAGCTGGGGGGGGGGTGGGGGGTTCGGGGGTTCGGGTGACTTCCACGGAGTAACGAAGCGCTGTGAAATTTACTGAGCGTGCATGGAAAGTAAGCAAATAAATAAATAGTGTTATCAATCAGTTATGGTTTAATTACCCTCCATTTTCTCCCCAAGTTAAGACTGTGCTTAGGCCCAGCTGTCAGAAACACCCCCCTCCGCCACCCTACAACCTGCCAGGAAGTACAGAACGGGAATGGATGCATGCTCCTCCGACTTACTGTCCTGCCAGTCAGTGGCCATTTTTACACGCCGGGGGGCGACAGGGCACACAACTGGAGAGTGATGTGCTGATTAGTGGGATAGTGTGTCTTTTCAGTTTGGTGACATCTGTGATGGTTCTGTCTGATCAGAGGCATCACATTGGGTCTAAGGGGGCGAGCTTAGGTCTGGGAAGACAGACTTTATTGTCTGGAATTCTGGTGCTCCAGAAGACAATTAAATTTCCAAAAAGTTGACCAGAGAAGACAACAACCATGACCGTGAATACAACTGTGACCATGACCACAACCATGACTGTAACTTACACATTATAAATAGTCTCAAACAGGCACTCATTGCAACGAAGAGCTACGAGAATGATTCCTGGTCTTAGAGGAATGTCTTATGAGGAGAGGTTAGCGGAACTGAATCTGTTCAGCCTTGAGCAAAGGAGACTAAGGGGGGACATGATTCAGGTCTATAAGATTCTAACGGGTCTGGATGCTGTTCAGCCAAATGACTATTTCAATATTAGTCTAAATACTAGAACTCGTGGCCATAAGTGGAAATTAGCGGGAGAACATTTTAAAACAAATTTGAGGAAGCACTTCTTTACACAGCGTGTAGTTAGAGTATGGAATAGTCTTCCTGCTAGTGTAGTGGAAGCTAAAACCATGGGTTCCTTTAAATCAGAGCTAGATAAGATTTTAACAACTCTGAGCTATTAGTTAAGTTCTCCCCAAACGAGCTTGATGGGCCGAATGGCCTCCTCTCGTTTGTAAATTTCTTATGTTCTTATGTTCTTAGTTCTGAGAGTGTGAGTTAGATTCATTATTTGTAAAAACAGAAGCAATATAGAGGACACACTATACAGATATAACTGATGAGAATAATTAAAAATAAAAACACTCATATCCTACATGCCATTAAAAATAATCACATGCATGTACTACAACTGACGCATCATTAAAAGACCCCTGACCACTGATATAATATGAGATATGACACAGCATGAGTTGTATTTATTAGATTTTGATGGAATAAATTTATTCTTTATGTATTTATATTCTCATCCCCCTTGCCTCAGTATAGACTGCAGGAAACTCATGACTCATAGCTCAGGTTATATACCATTCTGCCACTGTTTCAGGTAATAATGCAGGTTTGAAACCTTTCATGCCTTTTCTCCATTGATTACTAGGCTTTCTGTTGGAATGATACTTAAATTGACTGGGGGTAAACATTAATATCAGTGCAATCCAGAATCTGTACTCTGATTACTATAAGTAAAAAATATATATTGCATATTATATTATTTTGTGAAATCTGTGGTTTTTGCATGTCCTGCAGTGCCTTACTTCTTAGAATTC